TTAAATTACATATAAAATTCAAATATTTGCCAGTATGACGCTCAGAGCATTTAATTAAATTAATTCAAATAAAATACGAGGTTTAAAAATGTATTTTTTTTTCAATTGATAATTGTAATGTTGCTTTGTTATTGAATGACTAATGTGAGTTTCCACCTTGCTAATATATGCTATGCTAATAGCATATGCCGATATGCTAATAGTCTTTATAATTATGAATGATAATTATAATGAGGTCCCTTAATGGCGGCGCCATTAAGTATGTGGTTCGCCTAGGGCTCAAACCCAGCACCTTCTGTGTGTAAGGCAGGCGTGGTAACCGCCACATATGGAACATGGTTTGGTTTTTGTTTTGGTCACTCTTATCTATGTGACGTGTGACCAGAGGTATCCCTTAACTTCTAAGAATCTACGACGCACCACTGTGTACCGTTCTTCCCTACCACTACCACGGACCTTAAAAAGATCCAGTTTCCTGAAGTATTTGGGGCGACTCCAGACTCAGTTTTCAGGTCAGGATTTAACACTTAATAAAGGTGGCTCTGTTTTTAGACCGCGAGCCGGTCGGTGACTTCTCCCCTGACCTACAGGAAGGTCGCCATTAAAATTAGGCCTGAACCGGACAGGGCCGCCCCCCCCAGGGGTCATTTGAGGGATCAAAATTATTGACGGTCTTACAACTTTAATAGGATGTATTTGTAAAGGGGAAACACTTTTTAATGAACTTTACACTCACCAAAAAATTGTACTAAAATATATTGCAATATTCTTTGTATTCAGAAATCAAAATCTCTATTTTTTTATGGGGAAAAAAAATTATGGGAAAAATGTTTTTCAAATTGTTAGCAATGGGGGGCCCCATCAGGTAACAGACACACCGTTAAAGCACCGAATCGTGTCGCGTCAAATGAGAGCGCAACACGTGTTTACATTATAAATGAAATGACCATTTGTGTCCCAGGTATGAAAAGAAGAATTTACTGAAGGTGTCGAACGCACTTGTTGGAGGTAAAGGAATGTTATAACCCATACTTAGAGGGGGAAACAATGTACCTTGAGTCCCTGTGTCGAGACTCCAATTCTGATAAAAACAAATCTCCAATGTTTTTACACTGTGATGTGATGTCACAAGCTGCACGGAAATAAATACCATTGCATTTTACCCATCCAGAATTATAAATAGAGACTCTTTAAGGTATTTGTTTTAAAAGAGTTATTCAAAGTCTAATCACCCCTACAGGTACAAATTGAACATTTAAAGAACTGCCTATTACATTAAACATTTATGTAGTATAGTATTATATAGCGCCCTCTAGCGGCTGTCAGTATGAAAATAACGACCATGAAAATTCTAAGTGGTACAGGAGTAGCAGATACTGGTACACAAGCGTAGAACGCCCTCTAGTGGCTGTCAGTGTGAAAATAACAAACATGTGAAATTATATATTTTAATATATAAGTCATACCTGAGGATAAGTCGCAAACCCAGCCCAAGGATGAAAAAAGGTGTGACTTATAGTCTGGAAAATATGGTCCCCTGGTGTAACGAAAAGCTGTTTGAATGACTGATTATTTTTCTTTCAGCCCAGCGCAGACGAATAATGATAACTTAGAACAGCGCTTCTAGAAACAACCTAGGACGGCAGACGGTGTAGAATGTGTTCGTCTGCGTTTGATTTTATGTCTGTCTGTGGCTGTTTGTTTGTTCCACAGGACACCATGGAGCCACGTCTGTGTCAGTAATAACGACCTCTGGTGTGAAACATGTGCGAACCTGTCGGAGACCAAACACCAACTACTGTAAGGCACTGCTGTAAGGCTTTCCCGAGCATAAGCTGAGGATTCTATGATCCATTTGAACGCTCAACCTCTATTTATTGTTCAGCACCAGCCATCATCCAACGACAGGATAGAGCAAGCATTGGGCAAACTAAGGCCCGGGGGGCCGGATGCGGCCCGTTTAGCTTTTTAATTTGGCCCGACAAACTTTTCCGAATTCTATAACTTATTTATATTATTATTATTATACTTCTGACTTTTCCCTGCAATACCCACATTTCCCCAATAGATGGCATAGAAAATGATAAAAGCAAAGAAAAAAAACAAAACAAACAAAAAACTTAAAAATAATGGTTTGGGTCACGATCTTTTGTTATGTCATTTACACACTGAAATGGCAGGTTGTGTCGAAGGGTCTTAAACTGAGGAGGAGTTCTTTCGGGGACTGCCTTATGTCTACAGTATGTTGTGAAATTCAAAATACCAGAGGGGCGCCAATTTTAAATACATGTTCTACAAAGGTTTACACATAAAAATGGACTTCTTGGTTGTCTCCAAATGTGCTTATACGGAAAACATTCAAGGCACCCCCTGGATGAAGATGACGAAGATGATCTGATGAGCGCTTCTTTAACGACTCACGTTAAGTAAGAACTTTTAACACACTTCAAAGAGAGTGCTTTTGGCAAATAAACAGCTAGCTATATGCTTCCCCCGTGGAGCTATTTTGGAAAGATCGGGTCGCAAATCCTGATCTTGTTTTTCCTCAGTTTTTACAAGTTGGAAAGCAGTTATGTTACATAAGGGAAATCACCTCAGCCGTAAAAAAAAAAAACAAAACAAAAAAAAAACAGTGAAAAAGCGACCATAAAACAGACAGGTTAACTGAAGAACAGACTGGCCGTGGGTGAAACCAGACCCAAATGTGTACTGTGGGCTGCTCTTGTGGTCTCCATTACTACTGGCATTTTTTATGGAATGTTTTGTAACACACACCTCAGTGTGACGCAGGGTGATTGAGAAAAATGACAAATGTAGAAAGGAGCACTAGGGGTCACCAGAGAGAGGAAGTGCCTATTTTTCACATTTGATGATCAAACTTGTCTTGATTATTATTTAAATTATTTACCATGGTCAAGGGTCAAGTCAATTAATAATAGGAAATAATGTATGTATATATATATACATACATGCACAGACGGTAGCCTAAACAGGCTAAATCGTGTTAGCACATGTAATTCCCTGCATGCTTTTACCCATAAAAGGGCAATTTTCATTGGCTCTATATGACATTTGCTCCATAGATTATGTTTCCCGCAAAGTTCAAATCCACTACTTTGGTAAAAAAAAAATTCAATTTCTGCAAAAATTGTTTTCATTATTATTATTATTATTATTATTAAGATTGCACCACTTAAGTTTTCCTTTTTTTTTAAAAGCCATTGTTTCCCAAAGACTGGGTCGCAACCCTAATAGGGGTCGCAAGAGATTTTTTTTTTTCAGGGGGTCGTCTCGCATCATGTTTCCCAGGAGTTTACAAATAATGTCTATTGACTTGGGTCGTGAAGGTTTGTGACTTTTAAAGTATGGGTTCCCAGAAAAACAATTTGTGGAACACGGGTTTGACCAAGTGAGCCAATCACATAACTAACTCAAACTTGGTATTGCTTACTGGACTTTGTCATAAAAATCTAAATTTTATTAATCATATCTACCAAAAAAAGGTTGGGAACCACGGGCCTCAATGTTCAATTTCTCTGTCCGTTTCTCTTCGATTTTCATCTAAACAGGATCAAATTCGAATCGCATTTTCTTTAATAAAGACAGCCTAAATACAACAAAAGGATGCTCGATGGCAAACGTTCTGCAATACGGACCGAAAAAAATCACACAAACAGTGTCTGCTGAGTACATGCTGTACTTCAACCTCATGTTTTGGATGATCCTCGTAAACAAACAATCAGCCGACAACTAGCGAAAAAAAGTAGAAACACGAGGTCCGGCGCTCACAACACACTTGACTGTACCACACGCACTCCGTGTTTGTCTCCTCACCTCCCTGTGACACTCCCCTCTCTCTCTCCCTGTCAGCAAACAGTATAAATATCCTACTCTGAGCATTGCTGGGATTCAGACGCTGACCCTCACTAGGCAGTGGTACCACAGGTAGCAGGAGTTTTCCTGAGCCCAGAAGGGAGCGCTACAGACTACAATACACTACAATAATTAGGGAGAAAAAAAAAGGACAGCTTTGAAGAAACACTTCCACCATGCGGCTCCAGGTGTCTCTCCTCTGTTTGTTCTGCTTGACCATGCGCAGCCAGGCTGAAGATGGAGCCTCCCTCCATGGCTCCATCAACCCGGCCGGCCGTTGCCACTACACCTTCACAGTGGCCAGTCCCCAGGAGTCCAGCTGCCCGGGAGGCGACATTAAGTCAGAAATGGATGGCGTCCTTTCCCGCCTCACGCTGCTGGAAGCTTTGGTCAGTCAGCTCTTAGCGGGAGCGGACGGAGGCACGGGGTCCAAAGGCGGAGAGGATGTGCAGAAGGCTACCGCTCACGTGACGGGGGAAAGAAATAAGCTGCAGCAGGACAACGCATATCTGACCCAGCAGGTCCGGGAGCTGCAAAGACGGCTGGAGGAGCAGAACCGGGAGGCTGAAAGTCTCAAGCAGAAGTCCTGCGAACAAACGCAACTACCTGGAGGCAGTCAGCGTGACACCAGACCTGTCAGTGGTACGTACATCGGCCGATGATCATGGATGATCACGCTGCGGTTCATGCTGTTGCTAATTGTCTTCATCATACCATAATCCAACACGGGTTGGTGGTTGTGGTTGACTTCAGAGGTCAAAGGTGGAGTTGCAGTTAGCCATCCCAACGATGACTAAGGGGATCGGAATTTACAACCCAAGCGCTGTTTTACGGCTTTGTCACCCATGTCATGTGTCAGTTTATGTGCTCACTATGTTTTTTTTTTTTGGAAGTCATAGGTGAGGGCTGCAGTCCTCTGATGTTTGACTCACGACATTATCTTGTTACTTTAAGATCCCGTTCATGATTTGGCCAATGGGTCGTACCAGGAGATGAAAGCTGAGGTGACCGAGGTGCCTGCATCCCAGCTGATCCTCGACGGAGGTCACAATGCTACAGGTAAAAAAATAGCGCATAAAGAAGCTCTAATCAAGGAAAACTCCAGCCAAGGCATGTACTATATAGGCGCCCTTGGTTACGACATCATTGTCCTATGGCGTTTTGTCGTCACCTCCCGTAAAAAAAGTCCTGTTTTGTCACTAAATCGAACAGCACTGAAATGTCAACTAGCCCGCCCCCCCCCCATGCAAACTAGAAGCAAACAGGTTGTCCTAGCTTACTGTGTTAGCGTAGGTGAGTGACATAGGTACTCATGTTGAGTCTTATGGCAAAAATCTCCGACGTAAGTCGAGGATCCCTTGTATATAATCACATTATCTTAAAAACGATGTGTCAAACCCAAGGCCAGCGGGCCAAATGCGGCCCGGCAAATCATTTTCTGCGGCCCGTTTTTAATCGCCTTATAATAAAGTGTATATGCATTGCCCCCAGTGAAAATGAGTTTGTCTCCAGCATAGTACAAGTTGCCAAAAAAAGCTAACCAAAAGATAACTAGCTTATAGCCTAGATAAGACGATAGCCCACAGGATAGAATAGAGCTTATAGCTAAGATAAGACGATAGCCCACAGGATAGAAAAACTAGAACGTAAAAACGCTGATCACACCATCTGGAGAACATTGTTAATACACATCGATCACGCCGTCTGGAGAACATTGTTAATACACATCAACGCACCCAGGTCTAATTATCAGGGGTCTCTCCAGATTGCGGAGACCTACTGTCAGTGGGCGATCCGGTCTTACACAGGAAGGCTGACAGTATCACGGGAAAATACGGAGTATGGCTCCAGGACCCTGAACCCCGGGGCCCTCACTACACAAAGAAAACCGTGTGGCGAATCGACGCGGTGGGCAAAGACATCCGTCAGCTCTTCGCATACGAGGACCTCGATCAGTTCTCCCGAGGCTTCCCTATGAAGGTGGTCGTCCTGCCGGAGCCTTTAGAGAGCACGGGGGCCACCGTCTACCGCAGCTCCCTGTACTACCAACGTAAACGCAGCAGGACCCTGATCCGCTACGACCTGGACTCCGAGAGCGTGGCATCACGCTCGGAGCTGCCCGGCGCCGGCTTCCACGGACAGTACCCCTACTCTTGGGGGGGCTACACCGACATCGACCTGGCGGTGGACGAACAGGGCCTGTGGGCCATTTACAGCACAAGCGAGGCCAACGGAGCCATCGTCATTTCTCGGCTCGACCCCGACAGCCTTGCTGTTGGGAAGAGCTGGGAGACCACCATCAGGAAGAACACGGTGGCCAACGCTTTCATGGCGTGCGGACGCCTGTACACGCTGGCCAGCTACACCGCAGCCAACACGGTGGTTAACCACGTGTTCGACACAGCCACGGGCGTCAGGCGGCCGGTTGCCGTGCCCTTCAGGAACAGGTACAAATACAACAGCATGCTGGATTACAACTACGCCCACAGGAAGCTGTACGCCTGGGACAACTTCCACATGGTCACCTATGATGTCAGACTGGGCCCCGGCAGCCGCTGAGGAGGAAACAAGCTGCTGTTTAACGGACTTTATCACTGGAGCGAGTGAATGTGACGCGGCTATGCTGTTGGAAAACCGTGTACTGAAGTTAATAAAGTGTTTCTGCAGCGGCAATAATATAAGAATATAAATATAGACATGTTATATAACTTCTAAATAAAACTTTGTATTCACCCACTTCTGCTTATGAATCAACGTTGGTCTGGGGAGTTTAAATGTTCTTGTCAAAAAAAAGGTGGGAGCAAGAAATCAATTTCTCAACCAGTACTAAGTGGCTGCGGCTTTTCATGAAAAAGGGTTCAAATCCCGGCTTTGGTTCCGACTGAATGGTTTCACAGATGATTTTCATCCTACATACCATACATTAATTAAGCTAACTTAAACAGCAAACGCCAAAATAAGCGTCCGTTAAACAAGAGAGAGTATCGTAATGACTAGACCAAACGTCTGGAAACAAACCCGTGACCTCTACTGTCCATTGTTGTCAAAGGTGGCTACAGCATGTGGTGAGACATACCTTTAGCAGGAGCAGCAGCAGAAAAAGGCCCGGCCACGAGGTTCACCGTTCGGTTGAAAGTAGGTTGGACAAAAAGCTTCATGTTTGTTCTGCGGACAAACGAAAAAAAGAAATGTCAAATTAAAGTGTTATCCACGCCACATTGTAAAGTCCCGACTTGGCTTCAGGAGCTGTACACTTTCATTGTTTTGGTTTTTTTGCAAACACCATGTGCTGGTATGCACTGCCCTCTGTCGGGGGCTGGCTGTAACTGCATACAGACGTACACAAAAATATCAAAAACATATCAGACATTCCACGGCTATTTCTGATAGGGATTTTCTCTGACTTAGATAAGCTGTGTGGCTTCGGGAAATGAAACCAACCTTCAACCATAAACAGGTCAGGACTAATCCTAACCTTTACCTTCGGGCTTACATTAATTCGACACATTCATAAAAAATAAAAATAAAACATCTATAGAAAACGGTCTTGTATACTGGTATTCTTATCAAGGGTGAAAGGGGAGACGGGATCTATTGGAAAG